ACTATGTTATGATTAAAGTATGAATGTGCATAAAACTAAAAGTTTAAGTAGTGAATTTAAACTTTTACTTAATTGAACTATGTTTTAACACTAGGAATAAGTCGAAGATATCTATATATCTGAGATATGAAGTAGCCGAATTGTTGAAAAAAACAAAAAAAAAGAAGTAGCCGAATTTTCCCAGAGTCGGCCTTGTGTAGGCATCAAAATAAAATCTTAAAGTCATGTGAGGAAAGTTGGAAACTCAGGAAAAGTCAAAGCGTAGTAGAGAAAGACAGAAAAATACGAGAAGTGTGGTAAGATCTTGATCGTTGTACCAGCTTATATCGGACGGCCATTATTTCATGCAGGTAAAGATTCTACTCTCAAACTCCTGTTATAAAACGTTGCATAGATCATACATAAATAATTCAACAAAACAAAGCAAAAGAATATCTAAATGGTGGAAGAAGTTGTCTCCGCCGTTAACCAGACACTCCCAAACTCCGGCGGCGAAGCAGTGAACTTCACCGCATACTCCGCCGCAGTCCACAAAGTCGTCGTCATGGTCAACGCCGGAATTTTAGCATTATTACAGCTAATGAACCAACAAAACTCCTCTGTTTTGGAAACACATAAAACAGCATTCCTCTGTTTTTGTGTCTTCGTGTTGTTTTATGCGGTTCTTCGAGTCCGGGAAGCCATGGACGTGCGGCTACGACCAGGGTTATCCCCGAGGCTCGTCGGACACACGAGCCATATGTTCGGCGGTCTGGCCTCTCTTGTGCTAATACATATGGTTTGCGCTACGTTTTCTCTAGTCCTTCTTATTCTATGGTTTCTCTGGCTCTCCTTCGTGGTTTACGACACTATTAGTGAAGTGATGATCTACTCCAAAACAAACAAATCCGACGACGGTTTACCCCAGTTTCCGCCGGTTTAATATATTGGTTTGTGTTTAGTCGGAGTGTAATAGGGTCTACTTCGTATCCCTCACAAAACAAAAAGTGTTGTGAATTTAAAGTTATATAAGTTTATACAAGAAAATAAAACTTTATTATAAAAGTTCAAATGGACGAACAACTGATATGAATATTTCAATAGTGAGAATTGTTTTTTCCAAACACTTATAAACGATGATAAAAAGATTAGTTTGTTACATAATCACATCACCGATCAAAAAGAAGAATACAGCCATATGAATTTTGTAATTAAGGCATTATATTAACCATTTCAATGCGAGTGAACAAAGTCCATCCTCCTTTCAGCAAGTAAAATGTTGGTGAGGGAAATAAAGTAACCATGATCCATTTCTTTCTCGTCTTCTTTTCCCCTCTGATTTTACTTGTGTTATAAAAATGTTTGTGAGGGAAATAAACTCACGTCTTAATTTCTCGTATACGCATCACGCACCACGGGCATGGAAGAGCATTGAACCTGTGTTATCTCTCATCACCCATGTTCCACCAATATGCATTGTTGAACTTCTCTAGTTGGCACGTATATTACATTTAACAGTGCCTTGGATAGAAGGCTGCCATAGTTGCCAAACTCCTCTGTGTGATGCGACCATTCACCAAGGAATTTGAATTTTTATTCACCTCTTTCCATATTTTTGCATCCTCTCTTGTGTTCTCCACTAGATCCAGCAGGATCTTTCTTAGATTTGATTTCTAGTTTAAACGCATTTTACTAGTTTTATTGTTAACTAGATAACAGTCCGCGCTACGGGCGGGTTTTGGTGTATTCCCAATTTTATATCTAAGAATTGTCTAATTTTCTTCATTAGAGTAAGTAGTAATATGTTTTCTTTTCTTTATGGTTCGCAGATCTATGAGACTCAAAAATGTTAATAACTATAAGTGAGGTTATATTTCAATTTTTTTTGTACTGACATTTTACGTAGTAGTTAATGTTTGAATTCGATGGTTTGATTTAGAAGCTGTATGATAAGGTAAGATGTTTTATTTGTTGGTAAGGATGAGAAGTCGAACAAGTAGTAGAGGAGAATATTGGCTTGATTAGTTTTGTGTTCGTAAGGTAATTGTGTGTTGTTTTGCGAAAGTGTTGTCAATAATTTAACTTGTAAACCAATAATTTAAGTTAAATTCTCAAACTTGCAGACCATTCTCAAACTTGTCTAGAAGTCATCCACTAATACATCTGGGTTCTTTGTTTCATCTACAGATTCCATGTTTTCATGTTTAGATTAGAAAAACTAATTCTTGCTTTCTTCCCAGCATGACCAGATTAGAGTTTAGACGCAATCTTTTTCATTTCTCTCTCAAATCCAAGTAGCTTGAGTAGCAGGTTTGGAGCTTGACTGCCCACGACATCAGCTTTGTTCTCACTGATGCATTACTAACAACAGTTTTGCTTGATTCGGCTTCTCAAAAAATCCCTAGACAACAGAGGAGGAATCAACAAATTTTAATTTTATGATTCTTGAACCTGTATAAAGTCAAAGTTTCAATTACATGTATAAATAACAATAACAATAATTGCAAATTTTGAAAACTTGGATGGAGTTACTTAATTAGTAAGTAATTGGCAAAAAAAGATCATACCAGTTTCAACATACTGCTGTTGTATGTCTGTTGACTGAAGCTCCATTTCTACAGAAGAGAATCATATAGTGAAAGCATGAAAACAACTATCATTTCATAACATTGAAGAATAGGATTGCTTGACAAATGTAAATGTCGTGGGCATATTTCTATATATTTGTTATTAAAATTTTTTTAATAATTTTTATTAGGAAATGAATTCCTTAAAGAATTGAAGGATTTTCACCTAGTGTCTCATCTATTAATATATAGAAATATATGTTTAAGTTCCCAATTTGGTTTCTAACTAAGAGTTTTAGTCCAATCCCTTATACATTATTTGAAAAGTCTCCACAATTACTCTCACCAAAATAATTGTAACATGGCATTTTTGAATCACTAAAAAAGTTTCATAAATAATGTTACAATCACTTATTTTTTAAGAGTTGATTTATATATCGTAAAATTATATATAAATTTTCGTTTCTAAATCACTAAAAATAGTTTAGAAATTGATTATTTTTAAATCACTAAAAATAGTTTAGAAATTGATTATTTTAATATAAATTCTTTTTAAAATTACCAAATTTTTAAAAGAGTTTTTGATATGTCTTGTGAAAACAACTTTCCAAATTTATAACAACAAACATACATTAATTATTCTTTTGAAATATATTTTTTTTAATACAAGACAATTTGAAATCGCTTATACATTATTTGGGAAGTGATTTGTGAGAAAATGCTTATATGTCATCTCCACAACCACTTTCATCAAAATAATTGTGACATAGCTTGAAAATAATGTGGCATGACAATTTTGAATCAATAAAAAATATTCTACAAATAGATTTATATTTGTTTCCAAAAATAAATCAAAAACGTTTTTAATCAATATTTATGATATTTTCGTTTTTCATTCTAAAATTATATATAAATTTTTATTTCTCATCTAAAAATAGTTTATAAATTGATTATTGTAATAATAAAATTCTAGAGCTTTTTTCTTGAATATATATTCTTTTTGAAATTAATAATAACGACTTACCAAATTTTTAAAGAGAAATTTTTAAAAATACTACTTTTGAACTGCCACTTTTCACAAATGCCTATTTTCAAAATTTTTGCAAAAATGTCATATTTTAAAAATTATTTATTCGTTATATTATTTATGTTTGGGTTAACTATGTT